AGTGCTTCCTTGGAAAAAACAAATTTTCAGTCACTGCCCCTGCTGATTTCATAACATCCAGTGTCACCCCTTCCCATCTGGTGGTTGTGAAAAGTATTTGGAGGCTTTTTTTCCCCTTCTTATAGAGATTTCATACACACCTTCTTCCATTTATGCAACCCTCTGCATTCAGGCTGTAGCAGGAAAATCCATCCAAGGAGGACTTACCATGTACACCTTCAGGAGAATTTAAGCCCTATTTGTATTTATTCCCATGTTCTCAGGTAAGACACTGCATACAGATAAGCCAGACTGATTTCCACACATATAAAGTTTTACCTGGTAGACATAGCTTTAAAATTAAAACCAGAAGTCTTACAAAGAATTGACTGTATTTTTATTGAGCTCTTTAGAGGGTTTTAAGATTAATTGCATGTATTTATTAAACTTCTTTCCCTAAGGGCTATCCAAATAATATTGTTCATTTTAAACAGGCAAGCTATATAGCAAAAAACAGAAACAAAACAAAACAAAACAAAAAAAAACAAACCATTAACCTCAAAAACCACAAATGAGAAATCCTGCAGTATGTCTTTGGAAGAAAATGTCTTGTAATCCATATAAGAGCTTGAGTATATGTATCACTACTCCTTTAACAGCTCAAAGTCCACAAATATTACTTTAAAAATGGCACTGAGGACCTCAGTCTTATTGAAATTTGTCCTAAATGGGATGGTGCTAAGCAGCAGTCCAGCAAGTTTTACAGTATCAGAGAAAGATTTGATATGGAAGGGACCTTAAAGATCATCCAGTTCCAACCCTCTGCCAAGGGAGGGGACACCTTCCACTAGAACTGGCTGCTCAAAGTCTTCTTCAATCCCTTTAGCATTTCCAAGAATGTGGCAGCCACAACTACTCTGGTCAATTTAGTCCAGTTTACGCAGACACAATAAAAATACTCATATTGAAGACATCCCATGATAATTTGGTATCTTGGTTTCAAGCGACACCAAACCTCATGGTAGAAAAACTGTACTCATATCGTGGATTAAAAATATCTCCTGCTTGGAAAAAAATTGTCTTTTTTGGGTTACAACTTATGTTAACCTAAAAAAAAACAGGTAACATATTTTCCTAATATACACTGGAATACTATGAATGATAGAAATAAATAATATAGCCATGACCCATGTTTTGAGAAAGACCTGTTGAGCTGCAGCACGCTGGGAAGTTTGGGCTACACCAATTCTTTCCACAAGATAAAGCTTGAAAGGGACTCATCATTTTCCATCATTACCTGGGATGGCAGAGGCAGCAGAAAGCAAAAGAAGGAGATTCAGACTGGAAAAAGCCAAGTAA